TTTCACAGCTCTTACTCCAGCACATGCAGAGCCTGGCTCAGCACACTGCTGCTGTATGACATCACAGACTCAGCACACTGCTGCTGTATGACATCACAGACTCAGCACACTGCTGCTGTACGATATCACAGACTCAGCACACTGCTGCTGTATGACATCACAGACTCAGCACACTGCTTTCTGTATGACATCACAGACTCAGCACACTGCTTCCTGTATGACATCACAGACTCAGCACACTGCTTGCTGTATATTATCAGATTCATGCCACTACTTGCTGTGTAACGTCACAGACTCGCCGTACTATGTACTGTATGTCAGCAATTCCAACCTTCTGCTTAAGAAGAAAAATTTCCCACCATTTTACTTCAGTCAATGCTCCAAAACCCATACATAAATTCACTGTCCTATTTCTAAATCATATCCAAAATTCATGCACTTTATACATCTTAATAATGTGTATACCTCTATTTAATTTTGCCTTATATAAGTTTAATCTATCAGCCTTTAGACTTATTTATGACCCTTGCAATTAAGAAGTATTTGAAAATGTGTATGTTAATAATAGGGGCATTACATGTATGTAATGTCTGCATAGAAAATATAATTTCTTATTTCAGTAATTTTGTTTATAAATATTAATCACCTTACAGTTGTTTTATTTTCTATAATTTGCATGTCACTTTCAAGTTTCATACATTATCATCCTTTATGTTATTTTTCTTTTATATTTTGGTTGCTTGAACGCATTGTAGAATGAAGGAAATGCAATATTTAAGGGTATTTATCCTACACTAGATCATTTCATTAGCTCAATTATTTCTGAAATTTTATTTGGGTCCATCACTTCTTTTGCATTGTCTATGATTATATTTGTTTATATCACTATTAATAGAAAACTAATATCAAATCCGTGTCATTCCTGAGCATTTACTAAGTGCAAAGCCATATCTTTTCACATAGCTATCATTACACTGCCCTATAAAGTTTCTAGCACCATCGATAAAGAAACTGAGAATAAAGGACCGAGGCCACCAATCCACCCAAGAGGAGTCAGCTTGGCTCCATGCTGCACTTCAGAATTGCTGCCATGGTGGGATGATGCTTAAGCTTCCAAGAATTTCTACACAAACATTTAAACACCCACATGGTCACCCCTAACAAGCTTCAACTGATGTTCTCTCTCTGATGTCTCCATTGCCTGTGTTTTGAAAAGTCAATATAAAGGCTAGCACTGCATTTTCTTTCTCTGTTGAGAAAATAATTCGCTATGATAAAATAATTTAATTAATTGTAACAATGCTGAAAATTGTCTAAAATGTTTTATATTGTCTGTGGCTCCATTAATTTTAGTTTTGCCTGTACATAAAATGAAGTATGTACCTGTACTGGTACACATATTTCATTTCAATGGATGTAATTGGGATGTGTTACTCATGCTTATGAGATGTGTGAGCGAGTGTTTATCAATCTAGAAACTTAAGGAAAAGAGTAAAATGATATCTGTAAGACACCTGACGACTAGCATGTGCAATGGATTCAGAAAGAAGCGCTTTCCTGTCTTTTATAGTGTTGCTTTTGCTCCTTGAAAACCAACGCACTGAATTCCATCCGTAGAATAGCCTTTTAGATTACAAGTAAAATGAATTGTAGCTTTTTGGTCTATATTTGAAAGTATCACAACAATTTATGAGTTATATTGCTTTTTAATTGTGTGTAGTCCAATCAGAAAATTACAAGGTAGGTGCTACAATAGAATATAGCATCATGAAATGTCCATCATAAAAGAAATAAGATCCATTACACACTCTGTGCTGTATGGTATTATTTGTAAAATGATAAAAATATCTTTTTATGGAATTGTTTTGAAAATTACCCAAGATTCCAAATTGTAACTAATTAAAAAATTAACACTGTATGTTTAAATATAATTCTTCATGCTATCTGATATTTAATTAAGAATGATTATATTAATCAAAATCACAGGACATCTTACCATTTGTGGGGCTAATTTCATAGGCAAATTACATATCTCTGATCCAATGAAGAGCACATTGATTTTGAAGAGGAAAAATAAGTTAATCAATACATCACTGCCAAGAACGGGAGGGATGAATCACATTTAAGATGGGAGGAACTTCAAAGCATGAGAAGTGCATTGGTTGAAGTGTCATATTCTTCTTTAAGGAAAAGCTTGAGCAAACCTCTGATTAACTAGAAATCATAGGTACACATTCCTTTACAGTCTTGTTAAAAATACCCCCGCTTCCAGTTTCTGAGGATACACAAAATGCTTAGCAGGATGCTTTCAAAGGGAATCACTATGGATGGCTTGTTAGTTTTGTGAGTGTATTCAGAGTTACTTAGATTTGTCTTCACAGAAGACTTGAGAAGTCCTGAGAAGGGCAAACAAGGTAGACTCTAGAGATTTTAAAAACTAGTCTAATATTCAATAGAACTCATCACAGATCTTCATAATACCATCATTGACACTCCAGGATTACAGCTAAAAGTGTAGCAGTGCTTTACATTCCCAAAGCTTTGGGTTTCATGTCAGTTATCTCAAACCTGAAAAACTGGGTTAGCTCTAAGTCATTTTCCATGACTGATGGAGCTCGCTTATACCCTTCCTATAACAGTGCATAACCCAATTTTAACGTTATCTCCTCATCTTTCTATATTTCATAATACTAGATAACCTAATTTTTTATATTTAACAGAAAATTATTTAACCTTTCTTTATTTCTAGCAGTGTATATCCCTGCTTTCTATATATGCAATGGGCTACCAAAGTTTCTACTATTTTGTAACAGTCAAAAATCTAACTTTATATATTTTATAACAATTGATTACTAACTTTCAAAAATTTACAGTGTTTCTTTATTAGACTAGTTTTTGTGGGGAATTGGATATATTAAAATACATAATCCAACAATAGTTTTTTCAAATGGCCCTTAAAAAAATCAAAATAGGTAAGTAAAGACTGGAGGTATAAGTGTCTCTTGTTAAAAAGAAGACATACTTCTTAGAATTTTGATCTAAAAGCTATTAATACAGAAACTAAAAAGAGTTTAATCTCGACTGAAACTTCATACTCTGTAATTTTTGCTTTGACCTTTAAGAAAGGTTAACCTGGAGATGACTGGGGGGACAGGGAACAACGTTAACCTAAGATGACTGGGGGAACAGGACAAGTAAGGACAGTTCCACATTAGGAAACAAGTGTACATGTACCTTAGTGACTGGGTTATAGTTTAGAATGAGCTAAGGACAAAACCCTAGCAGCAGAAAAGGCAATGATGTGATTTTTGTTATGCACTAGTAGATTAGCCAACTCCATATGAGGTCTTATAGAAGGTAATTCACTCACAGAATAAAGAATTCAACTTTTGATATTATTCATCTCTAGCTTGTAGCCAACTACTTCCACTATATAAACTAAATTTCAGAATCACTTTCCATTGGAGCAAGTTTTCAAACATTAGTCTGTGTCAGAATCATCTGACTGAGATGTCACAGGTGTGAAGAATACAGAGGAAGTAGCTCTGAAATGTCCTAGGTGCTGTGGATGTTCGTACTCTGGGAGAACACTTAGAAACTGAAATGATCTCACTCAGTGTTGTTAGCTCTTTATTAGTACTCCAGCTTTTTCCAAACCTAAGATGTTTAGCATCAAAATCTTTAAAAATGCAGGGCTTTAATCCATTCAATCCATTTATCAAAGAGTGGTTAAAAAAAAAAAAGGACTTCAAATTAATGTTTTGGGAAGCAAAAATTCTTAGCCATACCTATAGTAAACGTCTCTTTGCTCCAAGACCCTGAAATGCATTTATCAGGAATTTCAAATAAGATCAATTGTTACTGCTTATAGAGGACCTATTTGTTTGTTTACTTACTTACTGTTTATGGCTTTGCAATAAGGTCTCACTGTGTAGTTTTGGTTGACCTGCATGTCATTTTATAGGCCAGGCTGGCCATGAACTCATATAGATCAGCCTGGTCTCTGCCTCCCCAGTTCTAGGATTAGGTCTTATTTTTTTATTATATGAGTGATGCAGCTCGTCCAACCAACCAGGCTTCTGCCTTTTTGCTTTTGCTTGCTTCCTTGATTAGTTTGTTTGTTTATAAATGGTTGTGTCCAGAGCAAATACATTCTAGGCAAGTGTCCTACCAGTCAAGCAAGCCCCAACCCACCCTTGTGCCTGTTAAGATGTCACACTGCATGCCTTGATCATTAACTTTACATCTCAAGCTACCTTTCCCTTACTTGTCCTGGCCTTTGTTTTTTCATGACATTCTTTTCTAAAATTTATTATTGAGAATATAATGTGTGATAATTATAGTAGATAGGATACTCATTTCACACAATAATATCATCCTAAAATGTCATTAAAAACATAAAGGTTATGAAGAGAAAGATAAATATACTCTTAATTTTCTTTCTGGCTAGACCTCTTATCTCAATTTACACCCAGAAGATAATTTAAAAATATACTTGCTAAAATACCTTTTGAACCACCTAAGCATATGTTTGCTCCAATATCTCAATATTAAAGCAGAATTAATTAAAATACCAAAGTAGTAAAACATAAAATAGAAATGGATGCATTAACAAAACAAAACAAAAAACACATAGGATGATAATGGAAGATTTCCCTAAACGTTTTTGAAGGGATACAAACTTTATAAAATATAAAAAACAAAACAACAACAACAACAAAAAAAAAAAACCTAAAAGCTTTGGTCCTTAGATCTTCAGCTTTATATGTTATGTAAATAAGTGATCTTTAACTTGTGTTATACAATAATGTGTTTCTAATAAGGAGAAGTATATCCCTAAGAGCTGGTACACAAACACATTATACATCTTAGCATTTAATACCATTGGGCCATTACATTTTATGTTTGTGTCTGATTCATCCATATTCAGTCCTTTAAAAGAATCTAGCAGCTTCTTATGATTGACTATTTTACAACTTTTAAAAAGAAAATTGTCTTGCCTTCGAATGGTAATCTTGTTCCAGTCTGGGATCTGATCCGGCTACCTGTTTGTATTTGTTAATTTTCATTTGGCGATTTCTCTCCTCTATATCCATAGCACCTATCAAGTAGAAAAAAACCCATGAAATTAATGTTCAATTCTTACTTCTGAATCCTAATTAGGATGTATAAAAGAAGAAATGTGAGGCTGATAAGCTATTTTCACTTAAAGTAGTATAGATAAATTAAATGTATTGTTTTTATTTTAAGTTAAAATACACATTTTGGTAAACAAAAGCAAGATTATTAAACATAATAATTTCAATCTGTAGAAAATATACTTGCATTAAAAGAAAAGACAACTAGATAAGAAAAAAAATCTGCACATCTATGTCTAGAAGAATATATTTGATGTATACAAATTTGGCACAAGAACTTTGGCTCTTAATTCATCATGTAAATCTAACTGGTTTGTAACTGGTTTCTAATGGTTTTCAAAATGCAGTTTAAAACTGCACTTTTAAACTACCACCATAAAATTAGGCTTTGCATTAAAGCAAGTCCTAGGATACATTATAAATCTCGTTATGAAGAACTTTTGACTTAGAAATTTATATAACTAAAATTAAGAAATAAGTTTATAAAATACACTTTTGATGACACCATGCTGGCATATATACAAAATACTACTAAAATCAATGAAAAATAGAATACTAAAAATGAAAAAAATGAATAAGTCTATTATAAGAGATCAGTGTCCTCAGTAATTGTTACTAACTCAAAATAAATAAACTTTAGACAGGTTTTTAAACTCTGATTGGAATTAAAAACTAAATTCATTTAACCAACCCTAACAAATATAAAAGGAACATACTCAAAGTATATGATTCCCATAAAGAAAATTTACGGGAAGATCATTTTTAAATAAATATATAAATTGAAAAACACAAAGGAGAAAGATGAATTTAATGGACTATGATGGCTATAATAACACACTGTCATGTAAATTTGTAAGCACTATGCATGTAGACAACAATGTAAACACACATACACATACATACCCTTTGCTCAAAATCATAACTTTAAAACTGAATTAAAGATATCTAGACAAAAATGGACCCATTAAACAAGCATCTAATACTTACCTGATCTAAAAAATAGCAATACAAATGGAACTAGAATTGTAGCAACATTATTACTCATACAGAACCCTCTCCTCAGCTACTGTTTTAATTCATTGCAAAATACTACTTCTGCTCTGCAAAAATTTTGTTACATAACTGGTAAGTCTTGCTAATAACAATTTTTAAGTGGAGACTGACTAAGTAAGATAAAAGGGAACACAATTTTTCAGAAAGAGTAACATTTTGGGTAAGAGTATGCCTAAAAAATAATTTATATGACCTTTAACTATGCCATCAAAATGCTGTTTCCTTATGAGACAGGTTTAGGTCGACCTTAAATCTCTGTCTCAGATTCCCAAGTGATGCGATTTCTTTTGTTTGTTATGCCTTCAAACTGAAAGCAATTATTCAGTAAGGAGCCAATAAGCTATTAAAATAGGCATAGTTTAATAACAGTATAACTGACTCCATATTAAATTAAAGATTACAGAATAAACTGAATGATATATGAAAGCATACGAATACCTGCAACATGAAATATAGTCAAGTGCAACACCTGTTAGTCCATTAAACTACACCTGTGAAATTGTGCATAGCTCAAGAAGTACTCTGACATAAAACAAATAAAAATTAGCCCTGTATGAAAGACAATTATGTGTAGTGAAAAGATGTTATTAGCTAAATATTGTTGGTGAAGATTCTTTAAAAAAGTTTCTTATTGCTATCACAATAGAAGAGTAGAATGTTAAATGCAAATAATAATAATTGACAAAGAAATTTAAGCACACAGAGACATAGATATAAAACATACACACATAAACATAAGCATTTTCTAATACTTAGTTTTTGGCATGGGAAACTTATATGACAGCTTCATTTAGTTCCTTCTGAATACTAGAAAGTAATGTGACCAACAGGGAGGAATGGCAAATTTTTATTTAAAAGGCTCAATAATAACATACATTGTAGGTATGGGGGGGCACATTTATGCATGTGCATGTGAGCCTGCACATATGTGTACACTTGATCATGTAGTGCAGTGCTCATGTCTGTGAGTGCAAGAATGTGTGTGCATATCTAGATCACAGGACTAGCTCTAGAGACACTGTGCAGCCTGCACTTTTGAGACAGGGTCTCTCATTGGCTGCTAGGCTTTTGAGCCCCAGAATCTGCCTGTCTCTGACTGCTCAGTGGTAGGGATCTGAGTACAGGGCACCATTCCTGGCTTTTGTTCTTTTAACCCGAGTGACAGAGATGGAACTCAGACCTCATGCCCTCAGAGCAAGCAGTTTACTGAATGTGTTATTGCTTCAGTCCTAAACTGCCATCTTTTGATTGTGTGCAATCTTTAACTTGGCTGCAAGTCTGCCACGGCCCGGTGAAAGCAGCCATAGGCTGTTTTTACACAAATGACCATGGCTGTGTTCTTGTAACAAAGGCATGGCGAACAACATATTAAATGTAGGGAAATGGAAGCATTTCCTCTAAAAATCAAAAAAGAAGAAAAGTGTCCATTCTTATTCTCAAATAAACATCAATGAAGTTATAGCCAGAATGATTAGGTAAGAAAAATAAAAACAGAAGAACACAGAGAAAGGAGGAAGCTAAGCCATCCCTGTTTTCAGATAGTGTGATATTGCCCATGAAAAACCCTCTCTCACAACTGATAAATTCAGCAAAGCAACAAGAAACACAGTCAACATAAAATTAACAGGTTTTCTATGTAACAAATACATTTGCAATAGCACCAAGAGATGAAAATATCAAGGAAATGAAAGGTTTCATGTTTATGATTGGGAGAATTAGTACTATTAAAATGGACATAGTACCAAAAAATATGCAAATTCAATGTGATCCCCAATAAAATACCAGTGGGATTTGTCACAGAATTAGAAAGCACATAAGCAAACAAACAAACAAACAAAAAAACCCAAATTCAACTATATGCACAGGAAACCTCAAAATCCACCAAAGCAGTCACAAGCAAGAAACCAAGGGCGAATGCATGACAATATCTGATCTCAAAAGGCACTTATGGGGATAGTAATGGAGATAGCGCAGCTACTTGACAGACACATACGTAAGCCCATGGAATAGAAAACTCAGAATTAAATCAATGCAGTAGCAGCTGTTTCTTAACAAGATCCCCAGAATACACACCAGACAAACAAACAGCGTTGAGCAAACTGGACGTTCACATGGAGATTGAAACTAAACCCATACCTCTCAAATTTTATAAATACCAGGTGAAAATGCATCATGGACCTTTATGAAAGACTTGAAACTAAGAGTTGAAAAAAACAAGAGAACTCGTCAAGATTATAGCAAGGATTTTCTTATAGGACTCCAATACCCTAGGGAACAAAAGCAAGAATTTAAATATTGGATTATATAAACAATCGACAGAATGAATGGACAACTTAAAGAATGGGAGAAACGTCTTTGGCAAACACTTATCTAACAGGATTAACATATGGAATACACAAGGAGATCAATGAGTTTCTTGGAAGGTTTATTCCTAATCGTGTGCACACTGTGTGCATGTGTGTGCATAGGAGTGCAAGTGCCCCAGGGAGCCAGAAGTGAACATCAGAGCCCCTGAAGCTGGAGTTACAACTGGTTGTGGAATTTCAAAGTGGACCCTGGTCACCTGCTGAGACATGTCTCAAGCTTCTCTGATACATTTTTAACTTCAAAGAAGAGTAATCAAATACAAATGGGAAAATGATCTGAACATTTTTTTTCAAAAACAAGGACAAATGAAAGACCAAAAATAAAAATGTATGTGACATAAACGAATGAAAAACGCTTAAACTTAGCCACCAGAGAGATGCAAAACAACTGCGCTAAAAATCTTTTTCAGAACAGTGACAATGGCTGTTGCTTTATTTTTATTATTATTATCATTATTATTATTTTAAGGAGAAGGCAAGAAATGCTGGTGAAGACACAGGGAGACAGGAAACCTAATTGTAATTGGTGGGAAAGTAAGTTAACACTGCCACTATGGAGAACAGTGTAGGAATTTCTTTAATAAACAAAACAACAAAAGCCTCAAGAGAACCAGAAAGGACTCAGTTACACTACCAGAGGAAGGGTACTCAGTTGAAGGAACCGAGGTTCATATATAAAGTTCATTGCGTCCCATTAGTCAGGCTGTGGAATTAAGCTGGGCGCCTTGTCAACAAATGAATAATAAATAAAAACATGTGTATATACACATAATAGCATTTGTTCAGCTAAAGAAAAATAAAATCATGTCATCTGTGGCCACATGATTTCTTTTATAAGGGACATTTAAAAAAAATATGTATGTTTGTATGCACGATCTGAAAGAAGTCCTATAATGGATGGAGAAAGTAATTAGAAGGAGTGGGAAGAGAAAGGACAGTAAAAGGGGCAGATGGGAGCGAAGACATGATCAAAGCCCAGTATTCCACATATGGGAGCCATGGGCAAAATACACTAATCTGGAAAACTAACAACATTTATGAGTTTGAAAACCTTTGATTTGTAGAACAAGTATGGTACAAGATTTAGGTCTTGGCATATTGGTTTAATTTTATGTGCAAAAGGGCCTTTCTCAGTTGTAATGATGAAAAAATAAATAAATAAATAAAGGATCTGAGCTGGGAAGACAGCGCAATTGGTTAAATGCTTGACTTGCAAACAAGTGGACCTGAGTTCAATGCACAGAATTCAGCTAAGGAATCCATGCACGGTGGTCACATTGATGATTCCAGTGTTGGGGAAAGTAAAGACAGGTGAATATCTTAGACTCAATAGCCATCCAGCTTAATTTAGTAAGTTCCAGGCCAACGAGAAAGTGTGTCCAAAAACAAAAAAATAAAAACAAACAAACAAACAAAAGAAGGTGAATGAAGCCTCAGGAGCTCTATTCATTCTGGTCTCTACACTGATGCACACATGTGCATGTGAATACACATATATACACACAAGATCTATGACTAGATTCATGTGTCATTATTTACACTTA